ATTTTAAGTTCACCTCACTGTCCATTTATCTATCCCACACTTCCTTTGTTTACCTACAAGGATGCTATGGGGGACAGTGTCAAAAGTCTTGCTGAAGCCAAGCTAGAAAATAAATAACATTGCATAGGAGTGAAAGAGATTTCTGAAGAAGTTATCCCTGTCATTGCAACTTAAGTATAGATAACTCCACTGAAGACAATAAAGACCCTGTGAGAGAGAAGCATTAATCAAGGCTTGAATGTCATGCAAAATGGCTTACTTTTTGTGATCTTTGGAGCCATTCCACTGAAGAGATTAAAATCCTCTGTTCTGTTAAAAGGACATGATAGAGTTTCCCATTCAGTCTTAAAGAACTTGAGCCTTTGTTTAAAATCCTGCACGAGAAAAGGTTCCATTATTGACAATGGTTTGGAGAGAGGAATCAATTAATTACTGGTGATTTTGGCCTCATGTGATTTTTCCATTGTACAGTTCAAGTAAAATACATTGTTTCTAGCAATGCAGTAGCTCTCACTAGTAAAACGAAGCATATGAGAAATATCTAAGGAACCAGCTGTCTATCATAACAAATGAAATGAAAATTCCACTCCATTTAGTGCATTCCCACAGGAGTAAAGCATGCAGCAAAGTTTCAAACAAACAGAAAATGCAATAGCAGCCCTTAACTTCATTTTCCTGTATCTGTTCTCAATTTTACAAGGGATATATTTTAAACATCTGTAATAATTACGCCCTAATTCTTTTTAAATTAAACATCACGGAACACAGTTGAGAAAAAACAGTCTTCAGTACAGAAATTACATATTTTAAAGCGACACATAACGATTAAGGAACTGCAGGTACATTTAATGAAAGGTAGTGAGAGACTCAATGGGATGACTTTTTCTCTTTTCCCGAAGCTGTTGTATGTGACTGTCCTTAGAATCACCCTAAAAGATTCCTCCCTTTCTATCACTCCTAGCTTCTCCTGAAAGCACAGGCCTTTTGAAGAAATGATTCATTATTGGGGACACTGACATACCCTAATACTCTCTTTGCTTTCTGTTTGACACAGCTTACGTATCGTGAAGTACAAATACAGTTCTAAATTAGCCTGTTTAAAGCGTTGCCAAAACCCGTCTAACAGGGATAAATAAACTTAAGTGTATTTTTAAACAAAATATAAACATATGCATGTGTATAAACATACTCAGGCTTCTGGTGCAATACTGGCATCTTTTTGGGGGAAGACCATAATAGTCATCAATTTCTCCTATTCTGTTGACATTCTGGATGCTGACTTTCTCCTGCCAGAAGTCCTTGAGGAGCCAGATTGATGTGGAGTAACAAGGCAGTCACTAGTAGCTTAACACAGGGAATACTATCAACATTTTTTCCTCTAACTAATGTTTTCTCTTTGTCTTTGACATAGCCAGTACAGAAAAACTTAATCCTCCACAAAAACTTGCTGTGAAGCACCACTGAGCTGCTCTTATTTGACTTCACTTTCTTCCTTCACAGAAGCGAGTAGAGAATGCATTAAAACAATATGAAGAGCTCAATCATTTTGTTCAAGCATCCATATTAAACAATTACAAAATATTTAAGCAGTCAGCAATAAATCAAATAGATAACTTTTTTTTTTTTAATATACCAGAGGAAATCAGAATCCATGAATCTGTGCAAGTTCAAACGATCAAAAGTGCTGACCAACCTGAAAAACGGACCTTGCAGTGTTCTCAAAAAGTTCATTTCTGAAATGCTTTTTCTGTCCTTTTTTCTTTTTTTCCCCTCAGAACTTCAAGCAAGACAAACAGCCATCTGTTACAACCCACTGTACTTCTGCAGTGTACTGGGACTTCAAGTTCTTCTGTACTGGGATTTCAAATTGCCAGAGTCTAGTATCAATCAAACCTGAATTCTCCAGGAATTGTATTACATGATCTAAGTCCTACCTTTACTGAAGAAATGGCTAAATTTTTGTTTAAGTAACATTTACATGTGATAAAACAATCACTCAAGTTTATTTCACTTACATGCTATAGTTGTATTTATTTAAAATAGAGCTGACTCTGGCTCACTTTTTCTGCATTAAATTACATCAGGAAAAAACCATATATTTAATTAGGAATAAGTACAGATTATTTACTACAAAACCTACCTGCAGTGGAGAAATTCTTCTGTTTATTCATTCCCACAACCACTGTGTTTGAATGGGTTTTCTAGATAACCCTTTACTGAAAAGAGACCTTTTTACTATCAATAACCAGAAAAAAAAAAAAAAAGTCTTCATAGAAACAGCCTAACAAGCATAAGCCTACACAAGTGATAGCATAACTATGAACCAGCGAACAGATACTCTTCCCTACATCTGTTAAGAGTCACCCACTTTTTAAGGTTTTGCCAAAGAAATTCCCCTGTATGGATATATGCTATTCTCAGCACATGAGAATGGGCCCAACGTTGTCTTTTTTTTTTTTTTTTTTTTTTTTTTTTTTTTTTTGCATTCTATTGGAAACTTTTTAATGAAAATATCATCCTTAAATTTGTTTTGTTTTATGTTGCTAATAATATTGCACATTTCTGTGTTTCCCATAAAAGAAAAGCTAGCTCTATTCCTTTTTTTTGAAAATTTCAGAGCTATGCTGAAGGCCTAATTTGGTCCTCAACTAGTAGCATTCATAGCATCATAGATTCACAGAGTCATAGAATGGCCTGGGTTGAAAAGGACCACAATGATCACCCAGTTTCAACCCCCTGCTGTGTGCAAGGGTCACCAACCAGCAGATCAGGCTGCCCAGAGCCACATCCAGCCTGGCCTTGAATGCCTCCAGGGATCAGGCATTGGTGATGCTTTTGATATTTTTCCAATTTCTAATCAGTCTTAATTAAAATCAACTTACAGCCCTATGAGAAAAAAAAATATATATATATCTTTACAAGTAATCCTTGGCACAAATTCTACTGGGTAAGAGATGATACGTTTTGTGAACTTGATGCATTTAATATATTGCTAAAATTTCTTACTGCAACAAGCAAGATATATCAGAGACGTGGTGACAGAGAACAGAGGAAAACAACTGCTGCTGAAAGCCGACAGACTCAAGGATCAAAAGGTTCAAAATAAAGTAGATCGCCACTATGGAGGTGTAGTGGAGCTATGGTATTATCTTGAATAAATTCATTTGGGTTTAGCTTTTAATGTTAACATTGTCAGTGTTTCTTGCACTCTGAGGCTCCTTTATGCTGTGCTGAGGTCTCTCACTTCCAAAACACTCCAGAGTGAAGTACTACCCTGCTCTAATTATCACAATTGAGCATTTGGAGCCAAGGACCTTCCATAGTGATGGCTGCGCCTGAATTGATACCAGTGGAAATCTGCTTGCTTGTCAAAAAGCCAAAGGTATCCTGGACACAGACTACCACCAGCTAGGAAGGACTGACCCAAGTCATCCTGCTTGCCATTGCCCCTCACACCTCTCATGACAGAACCACCTCACTTGCTCCAGTCTAGATGAGCCATAAAATAGTTTAACACCAAGAGAAGTAAATAAGGGAACAGCAACACAAACGGACCTGACTATAAACCTCACCAAGAGATCATCTTCAGCTCAGGGCACTGACAAGCGGGTTTCCTCCTCAGCAGGCAGAGCTGTGGCTGAGGGACGATGCCCAAATACATCCTGATATGTGAGCTGTAGCACAGCGGCCAAGCAAAACACCACAGAGCAACCTCTCCACCTGGAGGGAGCATGTTTGGTATTGGCTTCTAGCTTAGTCTCTGCTGTGAAGTCTAGCCATGAAAGATCTCATACCAACCTGATTGAATGTGAGAGGAGGCCTCGATAAAGGACAAAACATCAAATGGAAAAGATACGTCAGAGTTTGTGCTGAAGGAGCACTTCTATTTTTTTTTTATTTATTTAGTTAGTAAAAATATTTTGTGCTCAGCTGCTGCCATCTTCAGAGAGCAATGCATAATCTCATTCATCCAAGCACATTCACATCAATCCACAGAGCACAATTTTCCTCTTACTAGGGAAGCAAATCTGACTTATACAAGTTAACACCTATCATATACAGACACTATTTCACATCATACTGGTAGCATGGTATGACATGGGCTGGAACACTAAATCATGCATCACCTGAGAATCATTGCCTGAGAAAGTCCTATCATCCATGCAAAAACAAAGCTGCCTCTCCAGGCCTACAGGAGCAAGGTTATCATTACAACCTACTGGTTATAAGTATAAATGTGAAAGCCACATGCCACTGAAGAAGCCACCGTGCAAATGTAGCAGGCATGATGGGGATGCTAAACCCATAGAAAACAGAAAGACACAAGCCCATGTGCCACAACTGGCACAGTTGTCTTGACACAGGTCAACACAACAGTAAAGCAAGAGAGAAAATGTGATTTTCTGCATATCTTTGTGTAATAAAACAGGTGACGCACGACTGATGTGGATCTTGATAATCACATAAAGCACAGCTGCAGCTCTCTGGGAATATTTAGGATGATTTGCACCCCTACTAAAGAGAGCACTGATGCAAAGCCAGAGTACTTTGGAGTAAGAGAGAGGAAGGACAATCCTTGTCACCTTTCCTCTCACTCAGCAGCCACCAATTCATAAATAAATGAAGTAATACTGAAGCACATCCAGGCATACAACCATAAATCCACAGGGATAGCACAATACGTTTTTATTTTTTGTTTCCTCACTGTTAAACAGATTAAGTTGTGTCCAAACAAATTTTACTTTCATCGATACTCGTGGCTGGAAGTAAGTTTACGTCAAGTAATCACTATGCAGTACTAAAATTAACAACATAGCCAGTTACGCCCCATGGCTTCACAAATCCTCTATGCATGCAATTTTTTGTACATACTTCACCACTGTATAATCAATAAATATTAAGATGTTATAATTATGAAATAAACAAGAGAGTTTGACAAAGCAGACTATGATAGCAAAAAAAAAAAAAAAAAAAAAAAAAAAGATAAACTGAAGGCTTACCCCTATCCTGGGCTCACTTACAAAACTCCAGCAAAGCAGATCTTCAGAAGAGATCCTTCCCTACTGGCAGCCAGCTCTTAAATAGGTGTAGGAGCAGCACAGCTGAATTGCCTTCACCTGTGCTCCTGTGGCTGACTCAGTGCTCACCTCAGGTGATCAATCAGAGGTTCAGGCCGTGGCTCAGCAGTTCCCATACAACCACCATCACCGTGACAAAGCTCCAAAGATTCGTACTTGGATACATGAGAAAGCATCTCACTACAAAAGGAGGAAACTTCCCTGAGTCCTCTGCTCTGGAGACCAGGCAGCAAGTACTTCAGGTTCCTCATTTTACCATCACATAACAACAAAGATGGGATGAACATCTTTCTTGGGGCTTTTGTCCCCCATCATAACATTCTGAAAATATAAAGTTTCCCTCACGTTTCAAGGGAAAGTCTCAAGCATATTTTTAACAGACCGTTAGAAAGGCTGACTTGTGCAATGGCACATTCACAATGAATCTTGAGAAAAATTAAGTATCATTATAAAATTATTACTTTTTGGTTTGAAAATCTTGGACAAAGTATTTTTGAATGCTTTCCAAGGACAGAAAGGGCTGAGTCCCTCATCTGAATATCACTGTTATTCAAGTATTCAAATTCAGACCAATCTCAGAACTTTTACTGTGGATCACTGGAGGGTCTGATTTAATTCTGCACTATGTTCTTGAGGCCTGCAAGGCTGTCGAGTCCAGACTTCCTTTACACAAGGGGAAAGGCACACTTGTACAGTACAGAGGAAATGTCAGTTCCTGTGATCTTCCATCCTTCTATTCCCGTTCTCCAGATATTTATCTTTTTCTTCCACTGAGTTAAATCAACTGCTAATCAGAGGTAATTTCCTGTGGAACATAATGTTAGAAAGACATCAATTCATGCAAAGCCTGAAATACCAATCCAAGGTGATCACTAGCAATTAAACAGGTTCAAGAGGGGTGCTAGAAAATCTACCACCACAAGCATACATAATGTCTGATTCTGTAAGATAAATACACATACCAGCTATAACAACAGGATAGGCATTACCACATTTAAATATAATCAGTGCTTCTCTAATCAGCATTCCTACATGCTACACATAGGAAATCTTGCCTCATGCCTCATGTGATGAACTTATACAATGATGCTGGAAATTTAATTACACTTGCTTGTAACTGTGACCACAGAACTTAATTATAGCTATTATCAGCCAAAATAATTGGACAGCTGTTTTAAAAATTAGACTTCTTACTCGACGTGAGATATTCTAATAGGAAAGGATTCAGAAACTTAGCCATTAGCCTGAATAGAGAAGAGGAAGACAAGGAGAGGTAGAGTCTGTTTAGGACATCAAAGGAACACATCAGAAACATATACTGAAAGGGGAGTGAAAACATCAGATTTTATACTAAAGGAAGCCTTTATCAGCTGCTTTATTTTGCCTGAAGGAATAAACTTTAAGGGAACATGAATTTGGCTGGGGTCAGAGTGAGATAGACTGGTGACAAAAGCAACAATCAAAGAAAACATGGGAGAAAAAAAAAACAAGAAGAGAGAGATAAGAGGAAAAGGCTACTGCTACTTTTCTTGCCTTTTAGTCAGTTCCAATTCACCATCTCCACCTCACAAAATATGTTAGAATTCCTAGAAAAGCACAGAAATCAGCTGTGCAAGCAGCAGAAGCAAGGTAACAGCAAAACAGACAGTAATGGCAGTAACAGAAACAGGACAAGAGCCCCCAGGGCAGCAGCAGTGGCTTTAGCTACTGCTTACCAGCTTACTGGCAACTGTCCTTACCAGCCATAAAGCAGTAGGAGGAAAAAAAAAAATTAAAAAAAAAAAAAGGAAGAAAACAGCTTTTTCTTCTTGGCAGCTGAATTCTTAATTCACCACCTGCTGCCCAATTCAAATAGCAGCATGCAGCATCCATGGATGCATCGCAAGAGACAGGTGAGGTGCCCATGGAGTCTCTGGCATCAAGAGCCTCTGCTTAGCAAAAGCAAGCAATAAACCCTGCAGTGCTTCCCCATGGTTTTGAATCAGTAGCTGATGATTTTTTACATGCCATTTCTGACTCAATTAAAACAGCAGATTGCAGCATTGCTGGTGTTCCAGGCACAGTGACAGCACTTTGGTGGGAGAACAGGGATGGGAAAGAGCAGATGTGCTTTTGGCAGCTCGTTGTCCTCCTCTTGGCCTTCTGCTGCCTGCATTACAGGAAGGGCAGGGATAGCAGTAGCCCAGCATTGACTGGGAAAAATCATAGACATGCCAGAGTTCAGAAGGAAGACAGGATCTGATCTGTCTCTTTCCTGCCTTTTCAACCCAGAGGGCTTCTCAATCTACATTTAATGGTTCATCGCAGTAAAATCAGCAACTGTTTTAGGCATCACTGTAAAGCAGCAGCGACTGGTGCAGGTCCCAAGCTGGAAATATCCATATAAAAGTGAAAATCACCAGGCCCTCAGTGCAGAATGCCAGAGCAGGAAACTGTGAGGGGATCTCTGGCTGGTGCTGCTGCTGCTGCCAGCAAAAGTGTCTGTGGGAGAAAAGTGATAGGAAATGGAATAGATACAGTGCATTGTGTCATATTTTCTTAAGGCAGACACCGAGAAGCTACAGTAAGGAAAAATGAACAGCTGGAGAATGAAGCCTGAAATATATGATAACCCCACCAATTAATGCATTCATTGTTGAAATGCCAGATGAAAAACAACAGCAGAGCCATCTGAACACTGACTTACCATTTTGAGATATTTCCATATGCCACTTCCATATCAAAGTGCTCTTAAGTAAAATAGGAGGAGCAAAGTAAAATGTCTTTATCACTTTAAAATGTAAAATGTCTTTATCACTTGACAGCCATGTCTGTTTCTGATTATTTCCAACACACAATTAATTTATTGACACAATACACGTAGTATACATGTAAGTAAGAATTAGTAACATTTTCCATCTGTGCACACTTGCACTCAATAACCATTCAGTGTGTTCAAATGCATGCATATTTTCTGGACACGAATGGGTTTACAGTTGAGAATTCCCTAGAAGTTCACTTTATGACACACTGTAGGTAATAGAATTTTTACATTACGAAGCACTTTCCCTCCATTAACAGTGTGTAATATTGTAATGAACAGTCAGTAGAGCAACGCCTTTACTAGCTTTCATTTAGTAAAAAATAAGATGAAGGTAAGCACACTTTACCAGTAAACTTGGTGAGCAAGCAACTTCAGATTTTTTCATTATTTTATTAAAAAAAAATATTGGAGGAGTAGGTAGGAAAGCATACAGAATTCATAATACTCCCATTCCCTACAAGGAGCAACTGAAGAAACTGGGGCTGTTTAGTCTGGGGAAGAGAAGGCTGAGGGGAGACCTCATTGCTCTCTTCAAATATCTGAAAGGTGCTTACAGCAGAGTGGGGCTGATCTCTTCTCACTGGTGGCAGGATGAGGGGAAATGACCTCAAGTTGTACCAGGGTAAGTTTAGGTTGGATATCAGGAAACACTTCTTACAGCAAGGGTTGTGAAGCACTGCAATAGGCTGCCCAGGGAGGTGGTTGAGTCACCATCCCTGGATGTGCTTAAAAACCATTTGGATGTGGTCCTCAGGGACCTGATTTAGCAGAGGGTTGCTAGAGTGAGGGTAGGATGGTTAGGTTGTGGTTGGACTCGATGATCTTGAATGTCTTTTCCAACCTGAGCAATTCTATGATTCTATGATTCTAGTAAGCGACCATGTATCTTGACTCTACCTATGCATAAGGAGATTCTTATTTTTAATTTAGCCTGATCTACCTTAAATTAGCTCAGTAAAAGATTCAGTGAGCATCAGGACTGCTGCAGAAGGGACGACAGTTAATTTCTTCTTGGAAAAACTGAGTCTTCCTTTTCAGCATCAACAAGCTGCTGTACAGTGTTCGATCTGAAGCAGAACAGTAATCAGGTATAACAAAAACAAACAAACAAAACAATACCACTAATCATGATTCATCAACAGTGTTGGCACACTGCGCATGTGGTTCTGCACAGCAGCATGTGATTTGACCAAGAGCAGACATTTCTTCTGAGGAGTCAGAGGAGGGGCAGCAAATGTGGGAGAATACATTTCTGGTGTGAAAGAGGAGGAAAAGCCTAGTGAGACTCTTTCCAGTGACAGTCATGAGCTCATGCTAGCATGGACTTCTACTTGGGTATAGCTTCTTGGAGAAAAACAGGTCATCACAATCAGTACTGCGAACACAAGTGCCAGAAGGAAAGAAATAAGTGCAAGTCTCACCCAAAATTTTATAGAATAAGTGGAGGTACTTCTCTAGCTTGAATGCTTTCCTGTGCAACCCACTGCAGGGAACCTGCTTTTAGGGTGTTGGACTAAGTGATCTTAAGAGGTTCCTTTCAACCCTGACAATTCCATCCTATATGCTTCTGTGATTACTATGGAAAACACTTTGCTTAAGATAATAGAATAGTGAAAAGCTTCACCAGGAGCTGAAGGTCTCTGAAATTACAAAGGACAGCAAAAACAGCTTGTGAATAGTGTTGTACCCTAAAGCAGTAAGAAAACAAAACAAACAAAAAAACACTACAAAACAGATAACTTAGTTCCAAATAATAGCTGGTGCACAAGAGATTGATCTTCTTTTCTTTTCCTTAACATTTTTTTTTAAAAAACACAGACAAAAGGCAAAGCAATGCAATGAAATTACAGTAATTAGAGTGCTACATGCTACCTGAAAACAAATCATTTTCAAGGAGACACAAGGAAAATAAGAACAAAACAGACAGACTTAGAAAAAGGCAACTCAGAACTGCTATCCATCAAAACCTGGGCATGATTAGAAAAGTAAAACAAGCTTATACAATACCTGGTGCAAGAAAGGAAGAGGAAGGCTAAGCCTGTGGGTCTCCTCCTTCTATCATTTTGTGATTTTATGTTGCCTCAGTTATTTTGCATGGAGTAGCTAATGTAGGAAATGCTAAGTCAAAGCCTGAAACAATGATTGAGCACCTGGTGGGAAGGCAGGGCCAACCCAGGGGAGCTCTGAAGCAGGAGGTTTAGGCACCAAAATTTGGAAACTGAGTCTATGAGGAATGGTGCTTAAAAGGAGGTCTCATATATTCAAATTAATGAAGAGGTGTATCTCTGCATGGAAGTTTAGATGAAACAGTGTTCCATGTCCAAATACACCCAAACACAGCTTCTCCCTAATACTAAGATTAGCTGAGTAAGGAAGAGACATAGGGAAAGAATAGAAGGAACAATTGCAGAATGAAAGTAAAATACAAGGAAAGGTGCAGTTTAAAGAAAGGAAAGTAACAAGAAGTTCAGTGAGAAAAAAACGCCTATCTTGGATTTAGGCACCACTACAACCAGTTGGTTTTTCAGCTTTGGCTTCTGGAGTAGTTGAGTCTCCAGTAAATAATGAACAATTGAAAGTTTAGTTCCCACCCTCACCATGCATTTCTTCTGATCTGATAAAATTTTATCACAGAAGCTTGCATGTTATAGCCTGCTTGTTGGGTTCTAGTCATAATACATGAAGGTAAAAGCTTTATGAAAGTAAAGATGCAGAAGGGAGCCATAAAAGTTTGTCAAACATTACAAAATCAGAAACATTTTTTAAAGCACACAGGTATTGCAACTTCTACTGTTCCATCTTCATATGTACTTATGTAAAAATTGTTAATGTTTGTGCGAAGGTATAATTGTTGCTGCCCTTTTATGGGCAGAGAAATCAAAGCTATTACTACTCTAAATGGATTAAGCGTAATTCTATACTGTATTGTAAGTACTTCTATAGATCCATCACCAGTTTTAATTAACCTCAGACATAAGTCAATGGTGTGTATGCAGA